TTTGGGTAAAGTGCTTACAGGCCTTTTAGGGATCTTTTTGTGGGAGGGTGTACAAAGATTGAGGAGTCATTTATCTTGAGGTGAAAAGTCATTATCGCAATCTTGATGGAGCTCAAGGCAAGACCTCTGCCATCCAAAGTTTGGTAGCTGCTATAAAGTTTTTTCTACACTAGCGTTCCCCTAACAAATAATTGGACTTTAAAAGGCTTCAAAAGTTAAATGAATTAAAAAGAAGTTTTCTTGGTACAGGCTTAAATTACAATTTAAAAGTAATATATTGTAGTTCATTTTCCATTTATTTACCTACAAAAAACACACAAAAATTCAGGGTTATCTGTCCACACAGAAGCTGTCAAAAATCATTAACATAATGCTTAATTAAGAGCTCTGTGCACAGCACTATTATGTGTCCTAGCTTTTAAGCAGTCCAGGGAATATAGCATCCTCAACACAGGTCTCAAAAGGCAGAAAAATTAACTGTTAACTTTTTTAAAGTACTTGCAATTTAATATATCTACTGAATTAGTATTTACTGGATCTCAAAAAGTTTTTTAAGACAATTCACATTTAAATTTTAGAGACTTGCATGGGCACAGTAGGGATAGAAGGCAGAATCTGTATTTTTTAAAAAATATTTTACCATAAATATTTACCATATGTGAACATACTGCTCACATAGAATGTTAAGTTCTGTAAATTCTCCAGTGGCAGCAATAGTAAAAGATAATAGTTCCATTTAGTGCCTTTTTTGGTTTAAAAAAAAAAGTCCCAGTACTCCAGGGGAATAGTTGAGGTCTGACTGGAGGTGCCGGTACTGTATACTGGGCAGTACTGTAGCAAAAAAAGCACTAGTTCCATTTGCGCTGGTTTTAGACTACTAAAAGAAAAGTCCTGAAAAAATTGTATTAAAAACCAACACCGGAGGGCGATAAAAAGCAACGGTTTCTGATAGCATAAAGGAATTTAAAGCAAAATCATAATCCCTACAGCTAATGTATAAAGTTATAAAACTGAAAGGTTGTATATCACTTGTTCTAAAGAAAGGAAACTCATCAGAAATCTGGATAAATTGTTTCACATACAAGAGGCTGCCCTTGCTATTTATAAATTATTTCTATATGATAATAATGTGTTAAATACATTATATAACACACCAATGATTAATTCTACTTTGCGGTATCCATGCAAGGATTTCAAGGCACTTAAACAATGATTTTAAACATCACAATGTCCCACGCCATGTCTACACTATGAGATAAGGTCGAATTCATTAAGGTCAATTTTTTATCACCCAATGTAAAATTGAAGGTCCATGTCCCACACTGTGCACAAGAATTCAACAGTTTGAAGTAGTGTGTACCCAGAGAGGAGACTGCCACTAACTTTGAGAGCAATGTACTGTGAATAGCTATCCTACAATGCTTGAGTCACTTTGCATTTTGGGTTATGCCCCCTGTGCATGCTGGGACCAACACCATGCAGCAGGTGAGTCAAGGTTTATGTCATCAGCGTTCCATAATATGCTTGTCAACTCACTCCCCACCTGCTTGAGATCAATAGGAAACACACCATTTTTGGCCCTGATTATTTATGTAGACATCATAGTTGTGCAAGCATAGCTCTCTTCCGTTGTGAATTCCGTTGTGCATCAAAGCAATGTGATGTTGATGTTTACTTTGGTGTGCCTAACAGTGGAGTATATCAAGACCATCTGGACATCACTCCAAGAAGAGAACAAAATCTTAGGATGCCATGGGCAAGCCCTTGGACTGAACGGAATAGAAATGCAGCTGGTATTCAATCCTGTGGAAACAGTGGAATGCTGATGCCTCAGACAAGAATAGACTAGTGGGACTACATAGTGTGGCCAATATGGGATGATCAACAGTGGCTACAAAATGTTGATTGTGCAAGACCACTTTCATGGAACTTTGCTCCTGCCCTGAAGCGCAGGAACAACCAAAGGAGACCTGTGCTGACCATAGGGCATGGAAACTGCCCTGTGGAAGCTCACAATGACAGACATCTACAGGTTAGCTGGGAATCAATTTGGACTGGGAAAACTGATGGTGGGGATGCTGTTAAACAAATATCCAAAGCAAGTAATACGATTCTACTACGGGGGTAGTAACACTGGGACACATGGATGCCACAATGGAGGGCTTTACCATAATGGGAGTCCCTAACTGCAGGGCGGTGATAGATATCCCTATCATGGCACACCGATCCCCTTGCTAAGCAATACATAAACCACAAGGGGTACTTCTCCATGGTGTTGCAGGCACCAGAAGATCACAAGGGCCATTTCACTGACATCAACGTGAGATGGTTGTGAAAGGTACATGACACACACATCTTTAGGAACTCCTACTTCTTAAGAAAGATGCAAGCTGGAACTTTTTTCCAAGACCAGAAAATCAGAAATGGAGAGGTGGAAATGCCAATAGTGATCCTTGGCATCCCAGCCTATCATTTGCTCCTGTGGCTCATGAAGCCATACATGGGCAGCCTTGACCACAGTAAGGAGCAGTTCAATTACAGGATAAGCAAGTGCAGAATGGTGACTGAATGTGCTCTTGGGCATCCTAGCAAATGAAACATTCCCTTTGTGGTGGAAGCCTGCTGTGTGCTCCATAATATTTGTGAGAACAAGAGAAGAAATTATCTGGCAGGGTAAAGAGCTCAGGCAGAGCACCTAATCAGAGATTTTGAGCAGGTAGACACCAGGTGATAAGGAGACCACAGCATGGGGCAGTGCAAATCAGAGAGACTTTGAAAAAGTTTTGTTTTGAGAATCATGCATATTGCTCTTAATGAGATGCCCTTGCATTCAGTGTGTTTGCCTGTAATCCCCCCACCCTACCCCTGCAATTGAAGCAATAAAGACACCGTACTTCAGAAATCACGCATTTTTATTTAGGGAAGACAGAAGGGACAGAAAAGTAGTCGATGGTGGGATGCCCAGGGCGGGGATCAGAAATATGAGGGCAGCCTTTTGCTTCACGATGGTTCCCTGGAGGTTGAGCATGAGGCTTCCCTTGAGTCCCCCTCTTCACCCCATGTCCTAGAGTCCCTGGGGTGGAGACTGTGCAACTGGGTGAGGAAGGAAAGTTGTTCTGCAAGGG